CTTTTTTAGATTTAAATATAATTTTTTTTGTAGAATCTGGTTCCTCAGATTTAATTCAGTTCAGTTTATTTATACAGCACCAAGTCACAACAAAAGTCGTCTCAGGGCACTGAACAGAAATATTCATATATAAAAATAATAATTTAATATTATTTATCTGAGGAGCAGACTGCTTTGAGTAACTCATAGCAGAACTCTCATTAGCAGGACTTGGATTCTGGACACACCTCCAGAATTGGTCCTAAAGTGCAGGTGCAAATCCAGGCTGAGCTGAGCCAGGCTGAGTAGGGGTGTGCAGGTATGAGCAGAGTTGGGGCTTATTAGGGGCAGTGCAAAAGGGGCATAACACTTGAATTTGTTCATGTTCATTAGTTCAGGTTGTTTTAAGACTGAATGAGATGACTGAAGTTACAGTTTATATGGAAAATGTCACAAAATGATGTTCTGTAGGTAAGTCCAATGTTGACAGCACCTGTCCAAGTTACAGGTGTGCCAATCTTTGAGAGGGAGTTGTAAATTCAGCTGAAAGGAAACAATTTCTTTCAAACTCAAACAGAAGCCTGGAATGTTCAGTAACAAGGAACTCAGCACATTATTTTTATATTAATTCAGTGTTGAAGGCAAAGAGCTGTGAGAATAATTTCTAATCCTTTGATGCATGCTCTTTTGTCTGTTTTGTTAGCAAAATATTATTACATGATAGAAGTTTGACCTTAAACCATCTGGCAGCTGATGCATTTCTTAAGACAGTTGTAGTGGAACAGGCCTTTGATTTAGACTTTACTTTGTGTAAATCAGTTTGGGGTTTTCTTCAACCAGCAGGCCACGTTTAAACAGCAGCATTTTGTCCACCTACCTGTCGGTCTTGTCCTCTTGCAAATGAAAATGAGAACTCCTCCAACAAACACCAAAATCAGGACACAAACCAGAATCCCAACAACCAGAGCTGCATCTGTTAGAGACAAACATCAGACAGAAAAGGCTCCAATTCAGTGTGAATGAATGTCCACTGAAGCTTTCCCACCAACCACAGAACTGTACCCAGCTGAGCTCTGGGTGGGACCAGGTGGATCAGAGCTCTGTACCTGAGTCTGCAGTAGATTTGGGCAGTGTTTTCCTGCACTCCGTGTCAGTGGTGGATGTACAGTTCCTTACTGTCTCTTCATCACTTTGACATCTTGTTTGGAGACACAACAAAACTTCCTTAATGAAACTGTTGCATATTCTGCATGAATGCAGTGTGAACACAGAGCTGAAGAAGATGAAACACAGTTTGTAAAGATAAAACAAGCAGTACACATGCTCAAATGAAAAAGTAATAAAAACAGCAACAAGATGACAAGAGCTTCAAAAACAGCAAAAATTAGCTAAACAAAGTAATGCTATCTATTCAGCATCTTTGTCCCTTTCTGGGTCACAGGGAGCTGGAGTCTATCTCCAACAGTCACTGTGTAATGGCCGAGGACACCCTGGACAGGTCTCTAGTCCATCAGAGGGACAATTTATTTACCAGTGACACTAACATGCATGCGTTTGGTCATGGAGTACCAGGAGAAAGCCCATAGGGAGAACATGTAAACTGAGGAGAACCTGCGACCTTCTTGCAGTGAGGTGACGGTTCTAACCACTACTTACCATGCTGACCAGTGAATGAAATGTAACAACTAAGAAGTGTTGGTTTCTCATTTCTACTTTTAATGAAAAAAGTACCAAAGACACATAAGAATTAACTAATAAATGATTTGACTGTCAAGCTAAAGGATATTATGTCGTTTGTCATATGCAGGTTAACACAAGGTCAACAGTACAATTAGGCCTGTCGCAAGAAACAAATCAATTAATTGCATGATAAATGAAAATTATTGACTTCATTTTCATTTATCGGCTTTATCGTTTATTCATGGCTCTCTCTTTCTACTGAAGACACTGGATGACAAAAGGCTCAACTCTGGTGCTCTTCAATGACCCCTCCCTTTCTCTTTAAAATCCGTTTTAACCATCCAAAATCACGTTTTTGGATTGCTAAAAGCAGCTAAGCTGAGAAGCTTAACTACAAGCTAAGTTAACAGGCCGACCTCGGGAAGAAAATCCTCTGTCTTTTCTTTTCAAAGCTCCAAAATTCAAGGTTGAAACCCATGCCTTTGTGTAAAAAGTTGTTTTTCTCTGCAAAAAGAAGCTGAGAACTTTACTGATTTTTTATCAAAGCTTTGTGTGAAAAATGCTATGCTAAAGAGCTCAAACCACACCGAGCTTCTGCCATTTTGAGAACGGAAAACAAGGAAGGAGAGACAGCCCATGCATCAAGGGGCCTCCCTCCCATTTTTCTTAGAGAAATATCCATCTTTTGGTTCAAACAGTCTTATATTGCCATCCGGTGGTCAAAAAAGGTACTACATGCAAAACAAATTAACCAACATTTCTTTTTAAATTTGACAATAATTACTAATTATTGCCAAATTTCAAACAATTTTATCATTGATCGCAATAATTTCTGAGACAATTAATCACCCAGCAAAATTTGTTATTGTGACAGGCCTAAGTACAATGAAATGTTCAGGATGAGAAGAACAGATTTGACTTGATAAAAAAAAAAAAATAGTATCACACTAAAGTATAAAATAAGGGTAGAAAATAAAGTACCAAAAAGCGAAAAAGAAATATATTTGCAAGGGCCAAAAGAAATACAGTAAACAACAACATGGTAGAATATAACGGTGCAAGTAGAATGGAGTAGGAGTAGTCCTATCCGGCCCTGCTGGCTGGCAGGAATTCAGAGGCAGCTGCGGTGTATTAGCAGGCTAAAGCCCTGCTTGTTGCTGAGGCCAAAGCTCAAATGTTGGAAGAGATTGGTACTCTTGACCAGTTCAGAGGAGATTCTGGCAAACCATCAGGTGGATGAGGCAAGGAACGCAGCATATCACAACACTGTGTATATTGGAGGTGGGGGGCTGGTGACTTCAACCAGTGACGTTCTCAGGAGGTGGAAGGAATCCATCTCTGACCTTCTCAATCCCACCAGCCCATCTTCCATGGACGAAGCTGAATCAGTAGACTTGGGGGGTGGTTCGTCCATAAGAGGCGCTAGTGTCGCAGAGGTAGTTAAAAAGCTCCACATAGGCTGGCCTCTGGGGATGGACGAGATCTGGCTCAAATTCCCCAACACTCCAGATGTTACTGGGCTGTCTTGGTTGTCACACTTTTGCAACACTGCATAGACACTGGGGGCAGTGCAGACTGTGGTGGTGGTTCCCCTCTTCAAAAAGGGGGACAATAGGGTGTGCTCCATTTATAAAAGCATCACTCTCTTTAGCCTTCCTGGTAAGGTCTCTTCAGTGGTGCTGGAGAAAAGAGCATGATCGATGGTTGAACCATGAATTCAGAAGGAACAATACGGGATCGGAAAAGGGTGGATTGCCCCATCTCTAGGTGGGAGTGAGGTGCTGCATCAAGTGGAGGAGTTCAAGTATCTCAGGGTTTTGTTCATGAATAAGTGAGAAATGGAGCATGTGATTAACAGATGGGTCAGTGCAGCTTCCATAGAGCTGCAGACTGTTTGTCCGATGAGTTGAAGAGGGAGATGAGATGCAAGGAGAAGCTGTACATTTACTGGTAGATCTATGGCCCTACCCTCACCTTCTTCTTCCTCTTACCTATGGTCACAAATGTTGGGAAGTGACAGAGAACCAGATTGTAGATCCAGGACGTCTAAATGAGTTTCCTCTGTAGGGTAGCTAGACTCTCCCTTAGAGATAGCGTGACAAGTTTTCAAGGAACTTTTGTGTGAAATCTTTTTATCTTTTTATCTGTTGCTGCTGTTGCTGCTGATACACTGGAATTTCCCATCCGTGGGACAATAAAGGCTGTTTCTATTCTATTCTATTCTATTCTAAGTTCAGTTGTCAGGAGAGACTCAGAGTAGACCCGTTGCTTTTCCACATAGAGAGGAGCCAATTGAGGTGGTTCAGACATCTGGTAAAGATGAACCCTGTTCACCTAGCCTAGGGAGGGGTTCTGAACATGTCCAACTGGGAGAAAGCCCCAGGGAAGACCCAGGACATGCTGGAGAGACTATGTCTCTCGGTTGGCCTGGGAATGCCTTGATGTCCTCCCAGAAGAGCTGGAAGAGGTGGCTGGGGAAAGAGAGGTCTGGGCCTCCCTGATAAAGCTACTGCTCTTGAGACCCGACTTTGGAACAAGATGGTGGATGAAAAAAATAAACAAATAAAGCTCCTTCTCAACTTATTCCAGAAATAAGAAAAGCTAAATAATTTGCAGGGAAAGCTAAAAATAGCAAAATAGACACTAATATTAGCAACATAAGCTTAACTGTAGCTTAACTGTAGCTTAAAGTAGCGTATGAAAACAACAACAGTGTCATTATTATTTTTTTATTTATTGTACTCTATTAATCCCCAATAGGGAAATTAATTCTCTGCATTTTTCCCACTGCACATGTGAGCACACATGTGGAGCAGATAGCTGCCATCCAAGGCACCCGGGGAGCAGCTGGTAGGAGTTAAGGGCCTTGCTCAGGGGCCCAGGGTGGGGCAAATAAGGGTGGAGGCAGGTGTTGGTGTTTCATTTTCTCCACCCACATTTTTATGTTGTTGGTCCTGGGGGTTGAGCTGGGGGTTGACCGGCGACCCTCTGATCACAGGCCCACCCTCTCTAACCTCTGCACCACCAATTCCCAAAATTATGCTAAAATTTGAAAGAGAACAATATTTTTGAATGAACTGAGGAGATTTTAATGTATTTATTTGGAAATTGTATTTGCTGAGGTGACCTCTGAAGAAGGGAGAAGCCGAAAGAAGAAAAAAAAATGGAAATAATAAACATTACAAAAACCAAACACTTCCTGACTGAGCTGTATGGTCTTATATAAGAATGGTTCAAACAGTATGCAGGTCTTATGATTTGAAACAATGCCTGAAACAAATTGTGTGAATAATAGATAGTGTGTGTCATAGAACTCACCTTGAACACTTCTTACAGACTTCACATGCCTGGTCAGGACGACAGAACCGACCCGCTTTGCATTGACACAGAGTATCCTGAGTGTGAGTGCACAGACTCACCATGTCCTGGTCTTTAAAGGAACAACACACGTTGTTAGTGAGATGCTCTCAGAAACATTGACTTTTGGGTCCAATCAGGACCAAGTTACCTGAGCGACACTGGGTGCACTTAAAGCATTGTTCCAGCCCGTTGGCGTACTTCATAAACGTTCCAAAGTCACATTCTTCACACACACCCTTCTTCCCTGCTTCAGTGCAGTGTGTCTTCACATATTCACCTGAAGCCCACACAAAGCACAGTCAAGAGACTCCCAGGTTCATGCTGGCACCCCATGGGTCTTACCTGCTTCACAGCTTAAACAGCACACGTTGTTGTTGGGGTACTCCTTCGGGTCTGTGCAGGACAGCCTCTTGAGTTTCTTTGAGTCAGGCTGTGGAAATGGCTTCACAGGTTGGAGAAAACACATTGACGAGGAGAAAACCTTTAGAAAAAACAAGCGTTCAAATATTCAAATTCAGGTTTTATCATTGTCTTCATGGAAAACCACAAATAAACAGTTTTCTAAGGGTTAGCATAAAAAACAACGTACAATTTACTGGACTGACGGCACAAATGTGGGAGTCAGTTCTGATTCTGACCCTGGACATGATGATCTGGGCAGCGGTCAGCAAACTATCTCAATCATTGTAACAATTTATGACATTTTCAAAAACTTCCTTCTTCTTCTTCTTTTGGCTTTTCCCTCTTCAGGGGTCGCCACAGCGAGTCATCCTCCTCCACCTCACTCTGTCCTCTGCTTCCTGTCCTCACTCCAACTACCTCCATGTCCTCTCTAACTGCATCCATATATATCCTCTTTGGCCTTCCTCTTTGTATTTTTCCTGGCAGCTGCATTTCTAACATCCTTCTACCAGTATACCCACGGTCCCTCCTCTTGACATGTCCAAACCATCTCAGTCTGGCCTCTATAACTTTATCTCCCAGTTGTTCAGCCTGTGCTATACCTCTGATGATCTCATTCCTAATCTTATCCATCTTTGTCACTCATAAGGAGAACCTCAACATCTTCATTTCTGCCACTTCCAGTTCTTTCTCCTGTCTTTTTGTCAATGCCACTGTCTCCAGACCATACAATATAGCTGGTCTCACCACTATCTTGTAAACTTTTCCTTTTACCTTTTCTGACACCTTTTTATCACAAATCACCCCTGAAACTTTTCTCCATCCACTCCATCCTGCCTGGACTCTCTTTTTCACTTCTTTATCACATTCCCCATTTTCCTGGATAGTGGACCCCAAGTACTTGGAGTCCTGCACCTTTGTGACCTCTGCTCCTTGTAGCCTCACTGTTTCACCGGCCTCCCTCTCATTCACACACATGTACTCTGGCTTAATACGGCTGACTTTCATTCCACCTCTCCAAGTTCTCTTCCACCTGTTCCTTGTTTTCAACACAGATCACAATGCCATCTGCAAACATCATAGTCCATGGGGATGCCTGGCTGACCTCATCTGTTAGTCGTTCCATCACCAGAGCAAACAAGAAGGGGCTCAAGAGCCGATCCTTGATGCAATCCCACCTCCACCTTGAAGCTATCAGTCACTCCTACAGCACATTTCACCACTGTCCTGCTGTCCTCATACATATCCTGTACCAATCTGACATACTTTTCTGCTACTCCAGATTTCCCCATGCAATACCACACCTCTCTTGGCACTCTTGTCATATGCTTTTTCTAAATCCACAAATACACAATAGAGTTCTTTCTGGCCCTCTCTGTACTTCTCCATCAGCATTCTCAAAGCAAAGATTGTATCTGTGGTGATCTTTCTTGACATGAAACCATACTGCTGCTCACAAATAGTCACCTCTTGTCTAAGTCTTGCTTCCACAACTCTCCTAGATCTTCATTGTGTGATTCATCAACTTAATTCCCCTGTAGTTGCTACAACTCTGTGCATCACCCTTGTTCTTAAAAATGGGCACCAGTACACTTCTCCATTCCTCAGGCATTTTCTCACCCTTGAATATGCCATTGAATATTTGCGTCAAAAACCTCACTGCTACCTCTCCAAGACATTTCCAAACCTCCATTGGTATGTCATCAGGTCCTACTGCCTTCCCCTTTTTCATTCTTTTCAGAGCTTTCTGGACTTCACCCTCACTAATCTTTCCCACTTCCTGGTCCACAGTTTCTATGACCTCTACTCTTCTTTCTCTTTTATTCTCTTCATTCATTAGCTCCTCAAAGTACCCCTTCCAACTTTCCGTCACACTCTCCTCACTTTTTAGAACATTGCCATCCCTATCTTTAATAAGCCTAACCTGCTGCACACCCTTTCCAGCCTGATCCTTCTGTCTTGCCAGTCGGTACAAGTCCTTCTCGCCCTCTTTAGTGTCCAGTCTCCCATACAACTCATTGTACACCCTCTGCTTTACCTTAGCTACTTCCCTTTTTGCTTTATGTCCCATCTCCTTATATTCCTGTCTCCTCTCTTCAGTCCTCTCACTGTCATATTTCTTCTTGGCTAATCTCTTTCTTTGAATGGCGTCCTACACTTCACTATTTTTATTTAGGGGTGGCTGTGGCAGAGTGGTTAGAGCAGTCGTCCTCCATTGCATGAGTTGGGGGTTCGAATCCACTAGCAGTCACATGCCGAAGTGTCCATGGGCAAGACACTGAACCCCTCATCGCCTCCGATGTGTGTCTCATCGGTGTATGAATGTGATCTAAAAGCTCTGATTAGTCTCTTTAGAATGATTTGTTCAATTAGCTTTGTAGAGATTTAGTAGAGTGCTGTATGAATGGGTAAATGAGGCACAGATTGTAATGTAAAGTGCTTTGAGTATCTGGATAAGATAGAAAGGCACTATATAAGTACAGTCCATTTACTATTCCACCACCAGGTTTCCTTATCATCTATTCTCTGTCCAGATGACACACCAAGTACCTTCCTACCCGTCTCTCTAATTACTGTTGCTGTAGTAGCCCAGTCATTTGGAAGCTCTTTCTTACCATCCAGAGCCTTTAACAGCTCCCCTCTGAATTTCTAACAACTTTCTTTCTTCTTCAGCTTCCACCATTTGGTCTTCTTCTCTGATTTTGCTCTTTTTCTCTTCTTCACAACAACAGTCATTCTACACACAACCATCCGATGCTGTCTGGCCACACTCTCCCCTGCCACAACCTTACAGTCTCCAATCTCCCTCAGGTTTCCTCTTCTACACAGCATGTAGTTGACCTGCATACTCCTTCCTCCACTCTTATAGGTCATTCTATGTTCTTCCCTCTTTTGGAAATAGTTATTAACTATAGCCATTTCCATTCTCTTGGCAAAATCCACCACCTTCTGTCCTTCTTGGTTTCTTTCCTTGCCACCAAACCTACCCAACATTTCCGCATCCCCTCAGTTTCCTTCACCAACATGTCCATTCAGGTCTGCTCCAATCCCTACTCTTTCCTCCCTGGGAGTACTCTCTATCACTTCATCCAGATCTTTCCAAAATATATCTTTCTCCTCCCCATCACATCCAACCTGTGGAGCATTAACCACTGGCAATATTTAGCATCAGACCTTCTACTTCTACCTTCAGGCACATCACCCTATCTGACACTCTCTTCACATCTACTACATTCTTTGCCAACTCCTACTTCAGGACCACCCCTACTCCATTCCTTTTTCTATCCACATCATGGTAAAACAGTTTGAACCCTGCTCCAATGTTGCGAGCCTTGCTGCCCTTCCACTTGGTCTCTTGGACACATAAAACATCTACCTGTCTTCTCTGCATCATGCCAATCAGCTCTCTACATTTGCCAGTCATTGTCCCCACATTTAGAGTTGCAACCCTCAGTCCTACATTCTTCATGTTCCTCTTCTCCCTCCGTCTCCTGACACATTTCCCTCCTCGTGGTCTTCGACTAACAGTAGCACAATTTCCGCCGGCACCCTGTTTGTCAACAGCACCGGTGGCGGTCGTTGTTAACCCGGGCCTCAACCGATCCGGTATGGTTTCACTTTGATGAACTCGTATTATTTCCATTATTTTCAAAAACTTGTTATACCGGACCAATAAATTCAAATTCTATTCAAAAATACTGTATTAATCCCAGAGAGAGATTAAATGTTGTAGCTCATCATCCTGGTTTCATTAAAGAGTTGTTCTAGATGATGATGGCTGTGGACAGGAAGGATCTCTTGTAGCAGTCTGTCTTACAGCGGATCGGAAGAAGCCAGTCTGACGAAGAGGGTGCTGAGGGAACTGTTCTTTATTTGATGAAGAATCCTTCTTTGCACAATCATCTCCAAATGTTCTAGAGTCCTTAGAACTGAGCCAGCCTTCTTGATGAGCTTGTTGATCTTTTTTAAGTCACTTGATCTGGTGCTGCTACCCCAGCAGATGATGGCAGAAGAGATAGTGCTCTCTACAACAGACTTATAGAAGATATGCAGTATCTTACTGCAAACACTGAAGGACTTCAGCTTCCTCAAGAAGTACAGTCTGCTCGGTTCGTTCTTGTAGAAGCTTCACTGTTGCATTTCCAGTCCAGTCTGTTGTCCAGGTGAACCCAAAGTTATTTGCATTTCTCCACCTTCTTCTCCCATGATGGAAATAGGGTTGGACCTGTTCCTGTTTCTCCTGAAATCTACAATCATCTCTTGTTCACATTCAAGATGAGATGATTGTTTCCACACCATGCCACAAAGTGGTCTACCAGTTCCCTGTACTCAGCTTCTTGTCCATCTCTGATACACCTGACCACTGCAGAGTCATCTGAATATTTCTGCAGATGACGAGTCTGTTTTGAACTGGAAATCTGAGGTGTACAGAGTGAAAAGGAATGGTGAGAGTACAGTTCCCTGTGGTGCTCCTGAGCTACTAACCACCTGGTTAGACACACAACCCTGAGATTACCTGACAAACAGACTACAGTTTGTGAGACTGAAGAGTCTCACAAACTGTAGTCTGTTTGTCAGGTAATCTTTGATCCAGGTAATTGTTGAGGCCTCCACCTGAGTCTTCTGGACTTTCTGACAAAGCAAATCAGGCTTGATTGTGTTAAATGCACTGGAGAAATCAAAGAACATGACTCTCACAGTGCTGTCTGCCTTTTCTAGATGACAGTGAGTTTGATGAAGCAGGTGTATGATGGCATCTTCAAATCCAAGTCCATGCCGATCAGCAAACTGCAGTGGGTCCTGATATGTGTTTGCTTGTTTAGTCAGGTAGGCCAACAGAAGTCTCTCTAGGACCTTCATGATGTGGGATGTCAGGGCAACAGGTCTATAGTCATTGAGGACTGATGGGTGAGTTTTCTTTGGTACTGGAACAGGGCATGAGGTTTTCCACAACACTGGAACCTTTTCCTGGGTCAGGCTAAGTTTGAAGAGGTGTTGCAGAACCCCACAGAGCTGCTCTGCACCTAGACCTTCAGGACTCTGGGACTGACACCATCTGGACCTGCAGCCTTATTCTGGTTCAGTCTCTCCAGCGGCTTCCTCACCTGACTTCTAGAGACGCAGAGGGTGGAGGCAAAGGAGGTGTCAGCATCTTCTGATGTGGTTGAAGACCAACATGTAGAAGAAGAATCAGAATCAGAATAAACTTTATTGGAATTGCACCGAGGTACAACGCGAATATGTACGTACAGTCGTCCGAAAAATGGGCGGAGTGCACAAAGCTGCAACTACAGGAGAGCGCGGCCTTCTTATCCTTATCAGATAATAATCTTAGATAGGAAAAGGGGGAGAAACATGAGGGTAGATAGTGGTATTACAAAAAAGGACTTTCACATCTTGTCTATTAGGACATGATTTTAGACAATCAAAAAAACTCTACCAGCAAGCACAATTAAAACATGATTACATGCATTTGACATCGAGGTGTTGAGATTTGTCCATGAGCGTTTTTTTCAGATCAGCCACAGTTTCTTAAGATGTTGTTCCTGCCAGCAGTTCTGATAAGCTTGCACAGAAAGTTCTTGGGGGGAGGGGGGGGGGGCGATAGATGAAGCTTTTGTCCTTGGGTACTCATGTCCCAGGAGAAATTTGATAGTCAGCCCGTCTCCGAGGCCGTTGGGAGTCTGATTCAGATAAGCTTGATTTTTGTTTTTTCTTCAGGCAGACAGATTTTTTTCTTCAGCCGTGAGTCCATCTGGGCGTTCTGGTTCCGAAAATGCCTAATTGTGGGATTCTATTCCACTGATCCATGCTATGAGTCTCCTTCAAGGTCGAACCCACCACGCTGACGAGTCCCAGAAGCCGCAGATGGCCTGCGATTCTCACTCGCCTCTACCTTACGGTTAAGCTCGTAAACCAGACGATTTAAAGTTCTCACAGCGAGGACCAGACCTTCACACTGACTCGGAAGCTTTTCCATGGCCGAAACTGCTCCCAATGTCTTTTTCAAAAGTCAACAAAACAGAGCCCCACCGATGCCAAAAAGCAGAGTCGCTGCTAACATAGATCCAAATATGTAAACGTCTTCAACATCCTCCTGAGACAGGACTGTAATGCACATCAACTGCCACACTCCCCACGACGTACCCCACAGCATGAGTCTCAGCTGGACACGCCGGTTCTCCAGGACCTTTGTCGTTTTGATGAAAAAAATCTTATCAATAGAGTTGAACACCCACGATACCAAATTCATAATCTTCTTAATTTATGTTCGAGAGATGAGACACGGGCGCTTCAGACAGACAGAGAGCAAAGCATGAAGGAAAAAAATGGGGGAGGAGAAACAGAAGCTGCCACCTCGATGAGGGCCTGGGAGGAAGAAAAAGAAGGGTCCATGACCAAGGTGGTAGATAAAATATTTGAGGTGTGACAGGACAGCCTTGGGTCAAAGGAGGGTGGTATATCTGTTTGGCTCTAGGCAAGAGAGGAGGATGCTGAGCTTGTTCCTGAACTGAACCTATTGAAGAACATGTTCAGTTCATTGACTCTGTACAGGCTTCCATCCTTCTGATCCTCCTTCTGCTTGAAGCCTGTGCTCTTTTTCATCCCTGACCACACCTCTCTGATATTGTTCTGCTGGAGTTTGCTCTCCAACTTCATCTTGTACACCTCTTTGCTGTTTCTGATCTTGACTTTTAGTTGCTTCTGTGTATGCTTCAATAATTCCCTGTCTCACTCCCTGAAGGCTCTTTTTTTCTTGTTTAGCAGTTCCTTCAGGTCAGTGGTGATCCAGGGTTTGTTATTGGGGAAGCATCTCACTGTTCTGGTGGGGATGGTGTTGTTTACACAGAAGTTTATATAGTCGGTCACAGACTTAGTCATGTCCTCTCCATGTGGCTGGCACAGTGCATCCCAGTCTATAGCCTCAAAACAACCCCGCAGGGCTTCTTCAGCTTCCATTGACCATTTTCTCACTGTTCTCTTTATTACAGGTTGTCTCTGAACAAGGGGTTTATATTTTGAGCAGATAAACACAAGACTGTGATCTGATTTGCCCAGAGGGGTCTTGCTTTAGTGATGCATGAATCCTTGACATTTGCATAAAATAAGTCCAGTGTTTTGTTTTCTCTGGTAGAGCAGCTGACAAACTGTTGGAATGTTAGAAGTGTATCAGAGAATGAGAAATTATTAAAAGCCCCAGATATTGCCACAAACGCACTAGGGTGTTGCGTCTGTAGCTTAGCAACCTCGGAGCTGATGACATCACACGCAGTCTCGGCAACAGCATTGGGTGGAATGTAAACAGTTGCCACAATAACACTGGTGAACTCTCTTGGCAAATAATATGGATAACAACTTAGTGGTAACAGTTCAATATCTGGACTGCAGAGATGACACTTCACAGTAACATGTCCAGGATTACACCATCTGTTGTTCACAAGCACTGCCAACCCACCTCCTTTGCTTTTGCCACTCCTCTTTAAATCTCTATCTGCTCGTATGGTCAGAAAGCCTGGCAGGGAAACGCTACAGTCAGGGATATGATCCTGCAGCCATGTCTCAGTGAAACACATAACATTGCATTCCCGATACTCTGGATAGGTTCTTGTTAGGGCTTGAAGTTCATCCAACTTGTTTCCCAGCGATCTCACATTGCCCATCATAATCGATGGAAGAAATGGTTTCAACTTCATTCTTCTCTCTTTCTCTCACTTCTTTGCTCCTGCTGCATCCACAACGCCTCCTTTTCAACTCATTTGGGATGTGGGGCTGTAGTTGAGATATTATTTGGTTTTTGAAATGTTAATCAGTTGCTCCCGGTTGTAAAAAAAAACAACTTTGTTTTTATGGTTACGCAGCATAACAAATGTCCAAAAGCAAAGATGTTTCAGTAAAAATCCTTCCAGTTGCACAGCATCCGACACTAGAGGAAATAATCATTAAAAAGTGATTTACATCCAGGAAATAAGGGAATTAACGTTTAAGACGTTTTAATTTAATAATAAATTAAAGAAAACCAATTAAATCTGGAATGAACACAAGTCAAGACAGCACTAGTATCTTAACTACATTAGATGAAATGACACAAAAGATTCCTGTGAATGAAGAAATACACCTTATTATATTTATCATTAGAGTTAAGCATATACTGTTTCTTTTTATACTTTGTTTCTGCTTTTTTGAAATGTAACTAGGACCCTGAGTACACAATTTCATTCCACCTCATGTGATGTGAATGACAATAAAGAACCTTGAAATACCTACAAAACGCTGTTTTAAAGATAGTTTGGGTCATTTAGAAGCTCCTCTGTGTGACCATCTCATGCAACATCTAGTCAGAAACTAGCTGGAGCTCATCACATCTTTGGGAAACACTAGAAAACACAGTCATGTGATTGTGCCACAAAACTTGTCACTACCAGTTCAGGTGAAAGAAACACCCAATTAGGTCATCCATCTTCATTCTACACTCATGAGACACACCTCAGCGCGTGTTTCACAACTTGTTTTAGCTTCCTGAACAACAGACGAGGACGCTGACAGAACATCTTGTAAGACGTCACAGCAAGAGTGATCCTGGTGGACAGCCGTCTGCCTGTCAGCAGACTGAAGTCCTGACCCACAGACAGGTGTGTGTGTGTGTGTGTGACCCACATACATCTGACAGAAGTCCTGACCCACAGACAGGTGTGTGTGTGACCCACAGACAGGTATCAGACAGAAGCTCCGGCAGGCTCCCACACTCTCAGTCTTTAAGTCTCGCTTGAAGACCCACTTCTATTCGCTTGCCTTTAACACGGTGTGATTTGTTTTGGTCCGGTCTGTTCTCTACTCTGTTGGCCATTTTAGTTAGCTTCTGCTGCTATTTGTATCTGTATTTCTATTTTATGTTTTCCTGTCTGCTGTGCATGTTTGGTTCTTTTGTACAGCACTTTGGTTGGCCTTGTTGCTGTTTTAAGTGCTATATAAATAAATTGGTATGGTATGGTATGGTATGGTAAGCTCTGACCCACAGACAGGTATCTGACAGAAGTCCTGACCCACAGACAGGTGTGCGTGACCCACAAACAGGTGTGTGACCCACAGACAGGTCTGTGTTCCTTCAGCTCTGGAAACTAGCGGAGCTCGTTGACTAAGTTTGAAACAGTTTCAACAAGAAGTGAAAGAGGCTGGAAAAGCTCGCGCTCGGCCGTTTCGATGATAATTCTCGCGTGAAAAACATTTTAATAAACAGCAAGAAAGTCAACATCACTTCTGTGACATTAAAGAGGAAAGAAAACTCACCAAGAACTCCAAAAGCTTCTTCATCTTCTATTCAGTTTATTCAGATTAAAACGCAACATTTCCAACTCGAGCAACTTCTAACTGAACTTTGATACGAGCCGCCTGAGCAGGTCAGGTACTGTAGAGATGACGTCAGAGAGGGCGGGGTCAGTTGCCAGGCAACAGCCATAGCGCGCCCACTTTACTTTCTCTGCACGCATGTGCGTTAACCCAGCGCCATAGACCTACGTCACACCAACAAGATGTTTTGTTTAATGAGGATTCATTGAAAGAATGGATATCTCCCGCCGTCACACGCATAGATATAAACACTAACAGCATTGACCGCTATCGCCTATTGGCGCTGACTAGCTGTATGGCCGCCATCTTGGAACGGTCGACCGCTCCACTCAGTGCAACCTGTTTGACAGGAGCATTGAAGTATTTCATAGCTGAATACTGAACTCATTCTCACAATTTTTTCCTCTGTAAATATTAGGCGTACAGCCATTAAAGCTGATCACATGGTTCAGTGTATTTAAATATTTTTGGTGGGGTTAACATTAACAGTAATTGTAGGAGCCATTTATCTTGTTTTTCTGTGTTTATCTCCACTAGACAGTGTATTTCATTTTGTGTACTGAATATGTCAGCAGAAGAAGGTGATTACTTAAGGACAGGTGTGATTCTGTTCAGGTGTTGCGACTCAGAGTCGTGAACAGGTGAGAGACTCAGAGGGTGGACAATTGACACTTGTTTGAGGTTTGTCGAGACTTTGTTGGGAGAAAGAAGGCGGTAAGGCACGGCTGAGCTGTGAATGGTTGGAAGGATGTCAGAGGGAAATGATTTATCAGGAAGTGATTTAGCAGAAATGGAAGAGGGAGGGGATGGTGTTGAAAATGAAGGGATATGGCAGACCCATAAATTTAAACACAAACGGAAAAAAGCAAAACATCATGTAGAGTCGTCAGTTTCAGAAGTTGAAGAAGAAATAGTGAAGGTGATAGAGTTTAAAATCATCTTAAAGTTTCAACTCAACTCGCTAAATGGAAAAGTGAAACTTGTAAAAGTGCTTAGAGATGGATCTGTATTGATCATATGTAATGATGTTAAACAAAAAGACAGAGCACTACGTGTAAGAAAAATCCTAGGTGAAAATGTGAGTGGGAAATAAATCGATGACAAAAAATATGTTTGTGGCGTTATATCCAGAATAAATCCAACGGTGACAATTGAGGAGATTAAATCTAATGTCTCAGGAGGGAGAGTAGTAGAAGCCAAACGACTGACAAGAAATAAAAATGGAGAAAAAAGTGATAGCTTTTCCATAATGTTGAAATTCAAAGAAAAAAGTCTGCCGGACAAGGTGTTTGTGGGTTATATCAGTTACAATGTCCGACCATTTATCCCTCCACCAGTACGATGTTTTAAATGTCAGAAATATGGACACATAGCAGCAGTATGCAAAGGAAAACAGAAGTGTGGGAGATGTGCTGGGGACCACGAATATGGGAAATGTAAAGAAGGAGTGCCACTGAAATGCTGTAATTGTGGAGGTGAACATAGCTCAGGATTTAGGGGATGTGAAGCTAGTAAAACAGCCGGGGAAATCCAAAAACTTAAAGTCACTACAGGTATCACATATGCTGAAGCTATAAAGAAAGTCCCTGTGAAACCAATTAATTATCCAAAGAACATACCGGAAACAGGAAAAGTAGAATCGCATGTTACAGAAGGATGCAAAGTAAAAGAAGACACTTTAATCATGAACAAGGAGGATTTTGTGTTGTTCATGGTTGAGGTTGTGAATTGTACTGCTCAAACACAAAGAAAAATGGAAAAAATACAAATAATAGTAAAGGCAGCTTAAAAATATCTAGACTGCAAAAATGTCAGCTGGGAATCAATCAAAGCAAAACTAAATGAGATACAATCTTCTCAAACTCAATCATGCAGCAGTGGCCTTTCCTCCTCATGTTAACCATACTTCAATGGAATGCTAGAAGTCTACTTAGTAATGGATTAGAATTTAAAAAATACATTTCTGATTTAATAGTGAAACCGCATCTGATTTGCATACAAGAAACCTGGCTTAAACCCCAATTGGACTTCATAATACATGGATATTCGGCAATTAGAAATGACAGGAGGAAAAAACAAGGTGGGGGAGTGGCAACTTTTATACAGAATGGTCTAAGATATAAAGTAGAATCGACAAGTAAAAAACATGAAGCAATAGTAATAACAATTTGGATAGAAAATGGTCAGACTACAGTGATAAATTTTTATAATACGAACAAAAAATTGTCCATTCAAGAACTCAATGAAGTAAATGTACAGAATGTTGGCAAGACTTTGTGGTGTGGTGATTTCAATTCTCATAATAAATTATGGGGAAGTAAAAATACAGATGCAAATGGAGTGGTAATTGAAGAGTTCCTTGAATCACATTCAATGATATGCGTTAATGACTGTAGTCATACTAGATATGACTGTAATAGGAATCTAGGAAGTATTATAGACCTAACGTTAGTATCTAATACAATAGCGGGAATTACATCTTGGGAGGTGCTGAGTGATTCTCCCATGGGTAGTGACCATTTTCCTATTAAAATAACAGTTGGAACTGAAGTAAAAATTGAGGAGGAAGGGCAGATACCAAGATGGAGATTAAATAAGGCTAATTGGGACTTATTTAAGTATTTAGTAGATATCCAATTTAATAAACTAAATAAAAACATGTTTAGCGATGTGGAGATGTGTCATTCAAAGATTGTATCTGTCATCATTACTGCAGCTAAAACTTCAATTTCCAAAACTAGAGGTAGAGGAGTTAAAAAATCTGTTCCCTGGTGGAATGAGCATTGTAGCAATGCTATAAGAGAAAGAAATAAAGCATTTAAATTAATAAGAAAATACCATACCATAGAGGCGTTAATACAATTTAAAAAAGCACAAGCTATAGTTCGGAAAACTGTAAAAACAGCAAAAAAGGCATGTTGGAGACAATATTGCAACTCGATTGGAAGGGAAACCAAGCTAGCGGAGGTGTGGAGAGTTATTAAAAAAATGAATGGTGTTAAGAAAACTTTGTCTTTACCTGTTCTAGAACTAAATGGGAAGATAGCAGGTAGTAATAAAGAGAAAGCAGAATTATTAGCAGAAACAATAATTAAAATACATAGTTCTGAAAATGTATCTGAAGATATAAAAAGAAATAAAGAAAAATTAATATCTGAAAACAGACATAAATGTTCAGAGAGTAATTTCAGATCTAGATCTTGATATGCCCTTCAATATAAATGAGTTACAAAAAGCTATTATTAATTCTATACAAACACCAGGTAAAGATGGAATATGTTATACAATGCTTAAACATTTAGATAAATCATCAATTTTTGTTTTATTAAAGTTCTTTAACTTGATCTGGAAAACTGGACATATTCATGAATGGAAACAGTCAATAATAATTCCCGTGTTAAAACGGTGGAAAAAGGCAAATGACCCATCTAATTATAGGCCAATTGCGATTACCTCACAATTAGGGAAAATAATGGAAAGGCTCGTAACAGATAGACTTACATATTTTATTGAAAGAAAAAATGCATTATGCCCGTATCAAAGTGGTTTTTGCAAAGGTAGAAATACAATGGATGCAATATTGTGCCTAGAATCAGACATAAGAAAAGCACAAACAAATAAAGAATTGGTGATAGCAGTGTTCTTTGATATAGAGAAGGCATATGATATGTTATGGAAGGAAGGATTATTGATTAAATTAAGGAACATGGATATACAAGGTAAAATGTATAACTGGGTTTTGGATTTTTTGTATGGAAGAAAAATAGAAGTGAAGGTGGGGATGAATTACTCTACCAAATACTCTGTTGAGAATGGTACCCCGGAGGGAAGTGTGTGTAGCCCAATTCTTTTTAACATCATGATAAATGATATATTTGATGAAATAGATAGAACAATAGGAAGATCATTATATGCAGATGATGGGGCTATATGGGTGCGAGGACGCAATCTGGTACATTTACAGAAAAACATGGAAAAGGCCATTTTGAAAGTAGAAGATTGGGCTAATAAATGTGGATTTAAGATGTCAATAGCAAAAACTAAGGTAATTTGTTTTTATGAAATCAATCAACCTTTATTTAGGCTGGTAAGTCCCATTGAGCCTCGAGGACTCATTTACAAGAGAGACCTGGTTTCAACAAAGAATGATGACAACAATGGACAACAGCAACAACAATAAACAAATATAAAAAGTCATACTGCAGGGTTTTTTTTTTTTGGTTTTTTTTTTTTTACAAATAGGATGGCTAAAAGGAAAAGGTAACAAAACAAAAAACAAACAAACAAAAAAAAAAAACTGCTAGATTCTAAGGCGAATGTAGAAAACTAAAAACAGGAACATGTCTGCATTGGTCCCTGCCAGGAGTCCAACAGATTCTTAAAGCCACTTAGAGAGGTCAAGGTCGAGAGCTTCAAATCTTTTTGTAAGATATTCCAGGAAACAGGAGCGGAGTAGGAGAAGGCCCTTTTGCCTAGTTCAGTCCTCATTGAGGGAACACTGCAGGTAATAATGTTCTGAGAGCGCACGCTGTAGCTGCACTCACGCAGAGACATGTAGGAGATGTATGAAGGCAGCAGACCAAGAAGTGATTTAAAGATGAAAATGTACCAGTGAGAGAGTCTGCGTGAAGTTAATGATGTCCAGTTAACCAGTGAATACAGGGTGCAGTGGTGGGTACGATAATCACAGCCAGTTATGAATCTTAGTGCACCATGATAGACAGCATCCAACATCTGCAGGGTTCTTGTAGGAGCGTTCATATTGTAAATAATGTCACCATAATCAATTGAGGGAAGGAAAGTCACAGATACAAGGCGTTTTCTAGCATTCAGGGTTAGACAGGATCTGTTTCAGAAAAAGAAACCCAGTTTAACTTTCAGTTTCTTTACCCAGTTTTCCACATGGAGCTTAAAGGAGAGATGTGAGTCGACCAAGATACCCAAATATTTATAGGAATCAACAAACTCATTGGGGACACCATTTGAGGATAAAATCAGAGGAAG